GAAATGATGAAAATATAAATTGCCATGAATGGGAGTTGAGGAATGGAGGGAAATACATGTAGAAAACACATAAATATAAACACAGTGGAAAGTGAAGACTGGAAGAGAGGTAGACAGCTAGAAAGAAAGATAGATATAAATGAATAGATATAAATAGCTGGATGGGGTGAAAGAGAGAATGAGAGAGAGAATGGGACAGAGAAAGGGGGGAGGGATGAGAGTGAAAATGTGAGAATGAAAGAGAGAATAAGAGAAAGAAAATAAGAGAGAGAGAGAATGAGAGAGAGAGAGTAAAGTAAGGAAAACAAGCAAGAGGTAATCCTCTTTCGCACCCAAAAGAAACAATACCAGAGGAAGGGAACAAAAGGAAATACAAATAGAGAAAAGGAGAGAGAGAGAGAGAGAGAGAGAGAGAGAGAGAGAGAGAGAGAGAGAGAGAGAGAGAGAGAGAGAGAGCAACGAAAAACAAAAACAAAAAAGACCTGAATAATGATAGCCCAAGACGAAGATGATGGTGATGATAGCAGTAACAATAACAATAACAGCTAAAAAGAATGAAAATGATACTAACAATAAATACAGGAAATACATATATACTGTGATCAAATAATGCCAACGACAATAATTCAAATAATGCTTTTAAGCTCGTATCTCTGTCTTTCGTTCCTCACAATCATTAGCTTTATCATCGTCCTCATTAAAACACTCATAATTATCACCTTTGTTAATACGTATCATCATCGCAATTAATCAACTTGGTCTCATTATCAGATCACTGTAATTACTGCAGTTTTCACGCTGATTAATGTGTTTATTGCATAAATTCAACTAAGCTGCGTTGGGATGATTAAAAAGAGAAAAGGGGAGGTTGCAAAAATCAGTTAAATGCAACATTATGCAACAAACAAATGCATTTGAAATAATCGGGTGCAAAAGGATAGAAAAAGTAAAGAAGGAAAGAAAGAAATATGAATTATTGTTGCAGTAATGGCAATGCTGATAATAAGTAAGGTAGTTAAGGCGCTTATGACAATAATGATAATGATAATAATAGCAATGATAATAATAATAAGAATAATGTCAATGTGAGCATAAATTCATAATAATATTGATAACAATGATAATAATGATAATGATTACAATAATAATAATAACAAGAAATGATAATAAATATAACAATAACAATAATAACATCATTAATAATAATGATAATGATAATGATAATATATATATATATATATATATATATATATATATATATATATATATATATATATATATATATATATATATATATATATATATATATCATATATATGTATGTATATATATATATATATATATATATATATATATATATATATATATATATATATATATATATATATATATATATGTATGTATATGTATATATATACATATATATATATATATATATATATATATATATATATATATATATATATATATATACATACATATATATATATATATATATATATATATATATATATATATATATATATATATATGTATATATATATATATATATATATATATATATATATATATATATATATATATATATACACACACACACACACACACACACACACACACACACACATATATATATGCACGCACACACATATGAACACGAGTTAAGAGGAAAATCCGTATCGCCGCAGAGCGCCATCCGCCCACCCCCGGCCTGCCTTCGGCCGAAAAGCTTCTCACACAACTGTCCAGGTGATTCCGACAGCTCAAGAGAAGATCTATAAAGGGGAAGAGAGAGCGCGAGAGAGGGAAAAAATCTCCTTTCTCTTTTTCCCTCATTTTTTTCTTGACTTTGTGGATGTCAGGAGGTCAAGACATCGTTTAAGAAGTGGTCGCTGATAATAAGAGCTCGAGAGCCCACTTTTCTGGAGCTCTAGTTTTATCTCTTTTCCTGACTTTGTTGTTGTGGTTGTTGTTGTTGTTGGTAATATCATTATTGTTATCTTTTTTCTTGTTTTTCTTCTTATGTTATTATTATCGTTATTATTATTATTATTATTATTATTATTATTATTATTATTATATTATCATTATTATTATTATTATTATTATTATTATTATTATTATTATTATTATCACTATTACTATTATTATCATTATCATCTCTATAATTATCATTATAATAATGATGATACTAACAATAATGATAATGTTGATTATAATTCTTATCATTAATATTAATATTATCGTTATCATTTTCTTTATTGTTGTTGTTGTTCTTCTTCTTATTATTATTATTAGTGTTAATATTATTATTTTTACTGTTATTATTACTAATTTAGTATTAGTGTTATCCTTTTTATCATTATAATTATTTTCATTTTCATTCTTATTATCCTTGTTATTATTACTAATAACCTTATCATTATTATTATTATTAATGATATTATTATTATTATTATTATTATTATTATTATTATTATTATTATTATCATTATTACTATTATCATTATTATTATTATTATCATTTCCATTATTACCATTATCATATATATTATGATTACTCTTATGATATTGTCATTATCATTATTACTATAATTATTACTATCATATTTATGTTACTCTTAATTTTCTCTTATTTCTATTATCATTATCATTACCATCGTTATCCTCATTAGCATTATCATAATTAACATTGTTATTACCATTATCATTATCATTATAATTACTATTGTCATTATTATAACTATTTACTTTATAATCATTATGAAAATCATCATCAATATCATTGTTACGATTATCATTTTAGCATTATCATTTACTAGTATCATTATCATTTTTATCATTATTATCATTATTATTAACACTATTATTATTTTGTCATTATTATCATTGTTATTATTATCATTATTATCATTGGTATTATTATAATCATTACTGTAGATATCATTATACTTATTGTCATCGTTACTATTATTGTTACTCTTATTCTTCTTATTTCTATTATGATGTGTGATTATTGTTATTATCGTTATTATTTTTATTATTATTTTTTATCCTCATTATTATCATCTTTATTTTTTACTATCATTATTATTATTATTATTATTATCATTATTATTATTATTATTATTATTATTATCATTATCAATTTTGCTACTACTACTATTATCATTATTCTTTTTACTGTTAATATTATCATTATTATCATTATTACTATTATTATTATTATTATTATTATCATTATTTTATTATTATTATTATTATTATTACTACTACTACTACTATTATTATTATCATTATCATTAATATATTTATCATCATTTCGATCCTCATCGTCATCAACATCATCCTTTTCATGTTAATCGTCGACATCATCATATTTACTTTTTTCATTATAATTATTGTTTTCGTTATTATCACCATTATCTTTTCTTTGTCTTGGTTTTCCATGCCTACACTCACACACATAATCACACACACAAACACATGAAAGAGGTATCATGACCTACTTGTTATGAAAAGATAAAAATAAACACAAAATACGTCGTCAAAAGATAGCTTTACTAAAAACATTGTAAAACAACGCTAGAATCACTATTTTTTTAGCTATTGATATGAACACGCTCTACATGGCTTTGTAATAATTAAACTGAACAATTGAACACTTTTATCATAAACAGCCTTAGTATCTCATTATGATCCAAAGTCCACATATAATGGGATGTCCCGCATGTTTTTTAACGCGGGACTTCAGCACAAAACACAAATTGAAATATAAAAAAAAAACGGCCTTGGATAGATGTGACGAGCAACCGAACTGTGAAGGCTGTGATTACGAAATTACGGGAAATTATATGAATACCGGACTATCATGATCATTTTCCTTTTTTTCTGAAAAGTGTATTTTGTTTCTCTATTTACTTATTTGTTTCTTTCCGTAATGAATCACAATGGATGAAGTTCGTATACGATTTCGTGATGTCTTATCAAAAGCAATCCATTTTCCCATTGTTTTTACACAACACACGAACAAAGCGACTTTCTTTTTCTTGAAGTTCTGTTTTTGCTCGTTCTCTCACAACGAGCAAACAAGCCAAAAACAACGATCAGTGATCAGTAAAACAATACAAACCTGTAGTTTCCTGTGCGCCATTGCCAGCACCGGCTCCCGGAATACATTTCCTCAACAGCGACCCATAAGTCCGGAACAAACACTCACATTCGTTCCAAAAGTTGCCCTAAACGCGTGTCTGCATTCAGCACCAGCCTTGGCGAAAACGCATGAAAAATGGATAAATCGTTGGAAAAAACATTCGACTTTTGGCCATAACCACAGGAGACAAAGGGTTGCCGATTTTCCCGAGTGACATCCCTGCCATAATGTATTTTCCATGCGTTTGCTGTATTTTCGAAGTCCCCGGGCGGGTGCAATGTCTGTGGGCGGCTACGCAGAGGAAAAACGGACTCAAAGTGGGAGGGTATTTGATGCGCAGAAAGAGCGCATTTGTCGTGTGCTTTGAAGCAAACACACGTGCACTTGTGGAAATACCCAAGAGAAGGGAAAGAGAAAACGAACTGGGCAGCAAAAATAGCACAAGGAATAAACAAAGCATGATATCTTACATGAACGATATCAGTGTATGCAAGAAAATATTGATATCTTATTTTACTACACTTACAGAATCCTTATATAACTCTATATAATATTACGATATATAATCCTACTTTCATCTATATGAGTTTTCTGTGGTAAAGCGAAATAAAGATGAAAATACAAAAGTCCGCTTACAGTGCCATCTAGGAAAAAGAAAACTAACTATAATACATGCGCGTGATAATCTAAGCTATTGTATTAATTATATTATATTCTATGATAATCTATCATCAAATTCTTGAGTAAAAATATGAGAGCTATTTACTAGCCAAAGTATGGCGAAATGGCATTACAATTCTACATAATAATAAAGTGGATCTCACTTTATAACGAAGGTCCTTCTTACATTTTCGGTGACCCCTTCCAATATCTGAAATAATAAAGATAGTTTATACAGTTACATCTTTTTATGTATGAAATATATCGTTAGTTAATAGGGAAACAATAGGAGTAATATGACACTGATGAAATCGCTAAGTCACTGTTGTACATTAATCTGCGTGGAATGTTAAATCGTGCGCGAGCACAGTTTTTTTTTCTTTTCCTGCACGTGTATCGTCGACTGTCAGTTGCAAAGATAAAAAAGAGATATTTTCCAGGTCTTCGTACATTATGCAAATTCTTTCTTCTGGTTGCGATTAAGTATTCATCTATTTTTCCAATATATGGGATTCAATTTGATAACCTGCTTTCTTCTACTGGCTGATTCTTAATACACTTTGATATTTATCTCTCTCCCCTCTCCTTCTTTCGCTGCATGACTCTCTCTCTCTCTCTCTCTCTCTCTCTCTCTCTCTCTCTCTCTCTCTCTCTCTCTCTCTCTCTCTCTCTCTCTCTCTCTCTCTCTCTCTCTCCTTTTCCTTCTCACACAAACACACAAATTCAATTGTCCACTATTAAGTAAGTCCCCTCCTTCCAGGGTCCTCCTCTGGCGCCCATATTGCATAAAACAGGTTAGATATTGCACAAAGGCAGAAATAAAAAGTTGGAGCGTTCTAATTATGATTCTATAATTCCCTCAAGAACCAAAAATGTCCTGTAATCTCTGTGCAGCCGATTATCAGCTGAATCACACCTGAAAGGTTTCGCCCGCGCTGTTTCTGGCAGAGGAGGGGGGGGGGGGAAAGGAAGGTAAGGAGCAAGGGAGGGAAGTAGACATACAGACAGATAGATAAATAGATCGCTGGATTGGGGTAGAGCCTTTTTTATTTTCATTTTTCTCCCTCCTTCTTCCTTTCCTCTCTTCCTCACTGCCCCCATTTCTTTCTTTATTGCATTTTTTTTTTTATTAGCACTATCATCATCACACATACCATTTCTCACTTCCACATGCATCACTTCTATCATCCGTTCTTTTAAGAAAGCTTGTAGGCCACGTGATGGAAAATGCAATACATGGGCAACGCACTCTAATATCATTTTGTAAAGTTGCATGCAATAAACTTGCATAATGCTAACATTAAAAGTCACGTCCATACTGAATATCATTTCGGTGTAATATTTCATCGGGAGAATACGGGCAAGCCGTTACTTTCTCCTTGAAAGAAATATGTATTTTCGTAAATATTCTCTTGTGTTGATAATTTTATTACTACTAATGGCGTTTCGTGGGGGATGTGTATACATATGCCCGTAGAGTTTAATTCGTTTCTATTAATGTGTTAGTATATATGTTTGAGTATGTTCACACATTGTTCATGTGTATGTTTAAACAGAGAGAAACTACCAGACGGACAGAGAAATAGACAGACAGACAGAGGAAGAGACCCTGAGAGACGAACAGACAAAAGTGACAAAGGGACAGTGAAAATATAAAAGAAAGGTGAAACGGAGCGAAAGACAGGCACATAATGAGAGTGAAAGAGAGAGAGAAATAGGAGGAGAGATAAAGAGAGCTTGAGAGAGGGAGAGAGAGAGATTGAGAGAGAGCGAGATAGATAGATAGATAGATAGATAGATAGAGAGAGAGAGAGAGAGAGAGAGAGAGAGAGAGAGAGAGAGAGAGAGAGAGAGAGAGAGAGAGAGAGAGTGGGAGAGAGAGAGAGAAAGAGAGAGAGAGAGAGAGAGAGAGAAAGAGAGAGAGAGAGAGAGAGAGAGAGAGAGAGAGAGAGAGAGAGAGAGAGAGAGAGAGAGAGAGAGAGAGGGAGAGAGAGAGAGAGAGAGAGTGGGAGAGAGGGAGAGAGAGAGAGAGAGAGAGAGAGAGAGAGAGAGAGAGAGAGAGAAAGAGAGAGAGAGAGAGAGAGAGAGAGAGAGAGAAAGAGCGAGAGAGAGAGAGAGAGAGAGAGAGAGAGAGAGAGAGAGAGAGAGAGAGAGAGAGAGAGAGAGAGAGAGAGAGAGAGAATAAAGCAAGAAAGAAAGGACGGCAGCAGAAAAGCACAGACAATTGAATAACGAAAATATAGATTGCTTCCTCTTATCAGGCATCAATAGGTATCATGAGAGAGAGAGAGAGAGAGAGAGAGAGAAATAGATAGAGATCGATTGATAGAATAGAGAGACAGATAGATAGATAAATAGAGAGGCAGATTTCGACGCCGTATGAGTACCCACTGTGCACAGGCGAGCCATAACGCCCGTATAGCCGTCCACTCAAAGCGCCGATCCTCTGTGCAGGGAATTTAATGATTCAACAAAGTATCGTGTAACGCGAACGCCGGGAAAGTTTTAAATCACATTTCCAATCATATTTCACTATTTCAGGATAATGTGGTCACAACCGATTAGGTGAAATCAAATTTTGAATAAAGCTGATAAAGAAAGATTAACATATATTGCCATATGCACGTTTATTTATTTTTTCTTCAGGGAGTTATTCTTGGTTTAAGAATAGAGATGAAGGAAGAAATATAATGGCAGAATAAAAAAAATAACAGGGCAAAAAAAAAAAAAAAAAAAAAGATATAAAACCAAATAAAACAGAAAAGGAAACTTTGAAAACAACAAAAAAGAAAAGAAATTAGAATAACATCAGAAAAAAAGTAAAAAAAAAAAAAAAAAAGATAAACAAAAACCAAAGAGGAAAACAAAACTAAGATAGTAGATAAGTATAAAACCAGTCATGGAAAAGCAAAACACAAACATCTCCCTCATTTGCATAAACATCGTACTCAGGTAGGTAAAAGAAAAGATGAAAAGGAATGCAGACAATAGGCAGAAATAAAACAATAATTGAGCCTATGATATGGAAAATGATAAAAAAATCGCCCTTCGACATATCAGGCAATTAAAAACATATATCTCTTCATTACCATTTCAGCCGTAAGTTGAAGTAAAAAAATGTTTGGGACTTGAAGATAAAAAAACAAACAAACAAAGTAAGGAGACAATCGACACCACTCACACAAAGGCTTCTTATGTAACACAAATAGCAACAACCAAAATATAAAGAGACGAGTAATAATGATAATAAAAGATCAACAATCTCTCCAAAGCCGAAAGGTCAAAGGAAGTCATTATTTGGAATCCCAGAAAATGCCACCCCCTTACCCCCTCCCCCCCCAAAAAAAAAAAAAAAATCAACAAGTCCCGCCTCTCGAGCGCCCCTCACAGGCGACCTCGTCAACGCACCTCGTTTACATTGGAATAATAATATTAGAGAGTCCTTGCGCTAAGGGGGGAGGGGAGAGGGAGGGGGAAGAAGAGGGGGATGGAGTGGGCGTGGGCGTAGGGGTAGGACGGTGGGGGAGGGGGAGAGAGGAGAAATAGGGGCGGGGAAAGGGATGGGGGAGGGGGAGAGGAGAGGAGTGCGGGAGAGAAGGGGTGTGGAGGGGAGGGCAAGAGAGGAGGATGGATGAGCAAAGTAGAATAGGGGAGGAATGGAGGGGGGGGGGGTAGAGGGAATAGGAACTGGGGGAGGGGAGAGAAAGGGAAGGAAATATGTGAGAGAAAAGAGTGCGAAAAAGAAGGAGAAAGATGGAAAAGGAAGGGAAGGGAAGAGGAGTGGATGTGAAGGGAAAGAAATGGAAGTAAAAGGAAAGAGAACGCGTAGAAAAAAGCTACGCGTGAAAGAAGGAAGGATAAAAGAGAGGAAAAAGAGAAGAAAAGAAGGAATCAGGGAAGAGGAAGAAATGAAAGGGGTGGAAAGTTAAAGGTAAATTTCTAATAAAAGAACACCACTCGACAGATCGGCCGATTGCGGAGCCTGTTCTCTCGTGCCTTTTCCGGCGCAGCTAACCGCCGGCGAGGAAGAAGGGATTTCGGCTCGCAGAGAAAGCCAGGTGTTCGCTCGCGGGGTGATTGGCGTCGTATGCGGGCGTCGTGCGATTCCGTTCGTTCTTCGCTTTAGACTGACTGAGAGGCTTTAGCGATCCTCGAGGCGGGGTCGCGGGGATTCGATCGGCAGAAATCCTCGGAAACGTGTGAGCTTTCCTTGGATGAGGCTATAATGTCTTCCCATGCGCCACGACTGACTTCAAGCGCACCTCGTGTAGAGTTCATCTGGCAGAAAATGTGGGCGGAAGCATTTTAGTTGTATCAAACTTTGACTTAGTTACGCATTTTTAAAATCCTCAGCATACCCCCCCCCCAGAAAAATCCACCAATATGATTTATCATAAATTATTTTAAACGTATGCTATATGAAGTAGAGATCAGCGAGACAAATTTCATATTTATCATTATGTGGTTAGAAGCAAATATTATACAGCACTTTCAAAGGTTGTATATGTGATTCGACAATATGGCTGTCGACGTACAACTGAACAGTAATAGCAACTGCAGAATAGAGTCGTAGACTTCCTTGAGACTTGCCTGCTGCGCCGCACTCAGTGTCCGCTGACTAAAAAGTAGGCCGTGTGACCGGCGTGCACACGGAAATTGCGGACTTGTGCACGCTTTGTGGCTGCAATGCGCACGTACTTTTTCCTCGCGTGACCGCGCCGAGCTTGACCTAAGTCCAGTAAAGTTTTTGTACAACTCAAGGCAGAAATGCCCGGAATCGAACAACAGCGCTGCAACTGACCTGATTCGACTGTCTTAACCTTAGTCCGTTTCTCAGAGATGATTCTGGCTGACCTCAATACTGAAGACTGACTTATTATTCGGATGTATTAGGCCATGGCAACTCAGGTTCCCTATTTTTATGCTATGTAAAGCCAAGACTATCTAGTAATTAGAATTCATTATAACTTGTTAATGGGTAATTTGCAAAGGAAATGGTATGGAAGAAAGGGCTTTTGGGAATGTTTGATCTATTGAATGGAGTAATTCATTTTCCGAATTTCCATTCAAAGTAAATATTTACCGAAGTGAAGAGGAAGGGGGGGGTGGGGGGAGGAAGGCGTTAGGGAAAGGGAAGGGGAAGCGGGAGTGGGAAGGGGAAAGGGAGAAAGAAAAGGGGTAGGGGGAGTAGGAAGGGGAGGGTAGATGGGA